GGAATTAGTAGTTGTATAGATCCTTGGCAGTCCCCCAACCTTCTAAATACGACCCCTCTCCCCCTCCCCTTTATAGCGTCCGTGAAATAAGAGAAATCAGCTACCAAAAAATTTCTCAGACCAAATACGCGCCACCCCTTCCCTCGCGGTCAAATGCGACCCCCGTTGTGATCATCAGAACGGATGGCGTCCCAGTCCATTGGTTGCTTTCGTCTTGACCCATTACTAGCCGACCATTATTGGCTCTGGAACCCAGCCGGAGGCGGGCTTCCACCCCTCCTGATACCGCCCGACTAACTGCGACGATATGGACTACAATACACTTTAACAACAGCAACTATTTGCATGAAACAACACATGGCTACTCGTAGACCAGGTAATTTCGTCAAATCTAAATGCTACTTACTACTAGCCTTAATGATGGGTCATTTATCAAAATTAAATAAAAAAAATGAAGACTTACCACATAGCTGTATGAACTTCAGTGAGATCACCCTGTAGAGCATGTTGTCGGAGTATAGTATTTGCTTTATCTGGAAACACACCATCCCATAGCCGAACGGGAGCCTGAATAGTAATCGGTTGAGTAGATCAAACAAAGAAAAACAAGATCCATAAATAGAAGCAACAAAAACAAGTTGGTGCTAAACTCATTATTCCTCAATGGTTGAAAGAGGTTCTCAAGAGGCTGATTTTTTTTCTGACCCAAGCTTACTTTCGCGGATAGTCGGCATTCAACAATGCTGTACATCCACAAGTAAAATTGTAAATGTACCATAAGGTACTAGTAAAGAATAAAAGGCTGTAATGACGAAGTCAGAACTCACACCACTAAGGCGAATTTCGTAGAGGGCAAACTGCCGCATAAGTTCAATGTGTTCTTTGACATCGAGAAGGTCGTCCTCTTCAGCTCCGAAACGCTCTTCACGGGTGGAAAGCCACAGCTGAAAAGTCGTACTTCGATTACAGCAGTAAAGACATGAAAGCCTCATCACAGGGTGGCAGTGAAACAGGATAGAAAACATTTATAATATCTTCTCATTTTTCTTGTTCGATTTCGTTTTAATTCAGGCTCAGATTTTCTCAGAAGTACCAACTCATTTTTCTAACTTGAAGACACGTTCTGCGATTATCGCGTGGTAGGAATCCTTCCCTCGTACGCATATCTGATCTAACAACACCCGGTTTGGGGTGTGCAAAAAAGGCGTCAGAGGCTCGCGATTTAATTATAACAGCAACTTGTGCAATTCGCTTGTACCTATAATAACAAAGAGAAATTCACATTCGTTGTATGTGCGGCTATGTGGCCTAAGGCCCGCAGCTACGCTCCACATCCCTGAGACGCAGTAGGCGTGGCTGCGGGCTCCATTTGGACAAGTTGTTCGTTGAATTTTCGACTTAAGACAACTATCATTTTGTCTAGTATTGGACAATGACATGATTACAACCGTCCTAAATGACAAATCTCACCCGGTCAATTACATGATTACAACCGTCCTAAATGACAAATCTCACCGAACGCAAAGCGGCCGCAACGTCATCCAAATGAAGGGCGCGGCCACGCCTACCGCATTCCAGGGAATTGGAGTATATTTGGTCCCTCGCCGGTTCATTGAGCGGCTCTGCGCCCTTATTCACCTCATCTTTGCCCGACTCTAACGTAAGAGCGAACTAAGTCCCATTTGGGCCGTTTTCGAGGGGTTCCCTTTCTTTCTTCTTCAATGGGATTCCAACGAGCATTTGCAAATTTATTTCTGATACCCACGTCCTAAGACCTGCGATTACGGAAGGTATCTTTAAAGGCAAAACCCGCGATCACTCGCCATCACAGATAGTGGATTAGGGGTTTGCATATAGACGACAAGGTTCTGAGTAACTCGATAGTGAAGAAAAAAAGCAGAAAAAACATGCCAACTGCCCTAGATAGAACCCCATTCCGATCCCAGTTTGTACGTGCCCAGTTAACTCCATCTCCAACACTACGCCCTCATCCGCACAGCTGATTCCCCGATAAGAACTCTACGACCGTACAAGTGACGATTTTCATGCTTTTTCGTCCTGCAGCTTCGTTTTTCACTGAAAGGCGGGCCTTGAAGGCGGAGTCTGGAGGCGGAGTCACTGGAAAAAAGGAGTGCCACGACCTGTATTGCGCTATAGCGCCCCTTACAATTTTTGCCGCGAAACCGGTACAAGGTTGTTCGTCGCGGACCACACTACCCTCCCGACGCCATATTTTCAACTTCTGATACCTGATCGCGGATCCGTGCCTTTAAGTCCGCTTTCCACAGTGTGGAGCGGCTCTATGCAAGCTCTAAAATGAGCATGGGGCTGAAAGTGCTGGTTTCGACCACGTTTGACGAATTTTTCATTTGCATCTCTCGGAAAGTTTTGTCGCGCTGCTCTTCCACTTCCATGTTCGAAGCTTCTCTACCCCTTGTCCTCCTTCTCAAAAGTGAGTAAATAAATGGGGGGTGTGTCCTCAAAGTGGAACGTTTTTATCCCATATTTGACATATCACAAATAATTTGAAATGGAATGCATGGAATTTTGTGACGTCTTCCGAAACGCAATATGAGCAATTAACGCGCGGCAATCCTGAATAGCTTATTCGGCTTAATTGCCCCAATTTAGCGGCAAAGGGAGCGAGGTGATGACGTCATCACTGGCGAGTCTCAGCTGGAGCATCTCCGTGCCAAATCCATTGCATTTTACGCTCAGTGTACTTCTTCGATTTTAATGGCAGAAAAAACAGAATGCTAAGAATTTGAGCAGTCGAAGATCTCACAAGGGGGACAGGGTGCAGGATCAAACAGGATTTAACCATTATTGTGGCTACAGGAAAGTCATCAACTTTTGCAACGTAAAAGTACTAAAAAAGGTTCCGAAATTCAACAGTCTTGTTAGACTCTATACGCAGTCTTGTTAGACTCTATACGCAGCCTTGCTGCGTAAGCTGGGACGTGTCATGGTGGTGGGTTTGGCGCTGTGCCATGGAAAGGCGGCGGCGACTGCTGCGGGCGTTCCGGACCCAATTGATTCATCTGGATTGATAGACTGGACGTTCGACAGGGGTTATACATAGCATCTATCAGGACACTCCAGTTCTGTTCCAACCGGAGCTACTGTTCTAGGAGAAGAGAATCGCAGTGTCAGAGACGGATGGGGTCATCGGGTGGAATCGTGTCAGAAACAATCTCTGTAGGGTTCTCCTCGCTATGCACTCGACCGCACTTGCACTGAAAATTTCACGTACTTTTTAATCGTGCACTAGATTGCTCCGTCTGAATTCCATTACCTGATCTTTTTTGTGGTGAGTTCTCCGCTCCTGGTTGAGTAGTGATGACCATACTAGTAGAGTTAGAATGTTAGTGCTTTTCACCAATTACAGCCTTGATACTAAAACAAATGAACAATACACTCAGCGAAGTAGCGGAGGAGATAAGGAGATATCTCGCTATCCATCATCAGTTATCTCGGGTTCCCTTCCGTGTGATACTACGTTTCTGCTTCGCAAGCCACTATTCCCTTAGCTGAGTCAGAATGCCGAAATGAGGTAATGTTTCTCTTCAACTCTGTATCTTTCCGGGAAAGGAGGCGAAATTTATGTAAACTGCGACATTCTATGAGGCGGAGTTGCACTCTGTCCTCCCCTTAATATTGTTATACAACCGTATGGCAGGCCCACTCCACTGCGCGCCTGACGTTATAAATCAATGCGAAATGACTGACTACAGTTGCATTATTACGCTTAATGACAACACTCTTCCCCTTCGTGCGTAATTTCTGTTAATTATTATTGTGTGGCTGTAATTTCGAACGTGCATAACCCCTCTAGTTGGCTGTCTTTCATGTGTCACTGTGTTTCGGTGAAACCTCCCCTTACTC